GGACGACTAGCGCAGATAGCCCTCGTGTAGCTTTGCGCGAAATTCAAAAACAAACAAACAATCCATTTGGAAATAGGTTTGGCTTACTCTGTATAAACTAGCAGCACAAAGTTTAATCAGATAAAGATTTAATTTGTCCAAGACCCAAGTTTAATTTCAGCTTGTAATTTTTTTTCTATGAAACTTTTATAACATATCTTAAGTAGCAGTAAACTGAGGCAGAAAATAGCTTTTTTAACTACATTACTTTAAAGAACTAAACAACACGCATAAAATAAGATGGAGAAATATGATAAAATTGATAACAGAAAAATTCGATTTCCGATAGCTATAAACTAAGCTTTAGATGAAAGAAAACTTGTTTTGCAATGTACAGAGGGTTGATTTATATTGAAGTGATTTTAATATGCAAATTATAAAGTCGCGTGACAAATACAGCCGATATAAGGTCGCGGTGGAACGGCATATATCAGAATCACATTTTTGATATTGTTTGGCGTTTTCATAGGTAGTATGATATCACCGAAAATTAATCGTTTCTGGAAAGGGTATGTAACAGTCCTTTCCTCTGCAAGATATTCATACACCCAAATCATAAAAGTAGTTTAAGAACAGGGATTTAGAATTTCCGAAACGTGGGCACTCTTTTGACATAATGACATTGGAAAACAAAGGAAGATGGATCAACTTGGGGCACATGACCATACCGAAAGAGACTTGTAGCAAGTCGAACCACAGCCTTGGTAAGCAAATTGCGGTGTATTGTAACATTTGAGAATCCATGACACAAAGTACATATTCAAAGTTGTTTTAATATAAAATATGAAACTCTGTATTTATACAAAGATATAATAACGTATAAAATATTATTTTACATCTCCCATTGTAACTATACAGAATGTTTGAAATATGAATGCATGCAATCACTTGTACGACGGACGTGTGATAAAGGAAGCAAAACAGGCTATAATGATATTTCTTTCTTGACAACAGAAATGGCAATTTTCTCACGAACTTAAAAACTTGGAAAGTGTTGAAACCATTTGAAAAACAGTGAACAGTATGGATGAAAAGTGACGACCTTCGATTAATGATAATTGTTTTAAACAAGTGGACATATATTTATACTAACCTTTGCCCCAGATGACAGATCTACTGTCCAGAAAAACTTGGTCATCTTTTATCGTCCTTCGATCTCCACTGACCACTACCTTCCACTCAGCATGCGCTGTGCCACGCAGCAGTACACGGATAGCTGCAACAACAAAGCGGTTTAAACACTCACCACAAGAACAGAAACAGCAAAGCAATTTAACCACCCACAGCCATAAAATTTCCCAATATTTCTTTCAACACACAAAAACTACTGTAAATTGTGTTAAAAAGTTCCAGAAAATTTAACAAAACATATTTTCATGAAAATAATACTAACTGCCTCAGACTTTCTCTCCATACTAATTAATGACGTAATTAATAATAAAATAACTTGAACTTTCTAAACTTTATTTATTAATAAATAATTAGTGTGTTGAACAGACTGAAATTATCGGTGTAGTAGATATGGCGAGGATTTTTATCAATGATTAATTATAAAATCATATGAATTAATCACCAGATCAGCTGATTTTGATAGACGTCGATTCAATCACGAAAGAAATAGCTGATTTACTAAAATATCTTTACCGTGCTAAGTTTGTAAAATAAAATATATCATTATTTTAGTTCCTAAATTGCTATTCTTGTGTATAAATGTTGTATATTTGTAAAATTATTCCTAAAAATTACCCCCCCCCCCAGTGGTTCAGCGGTAAGCCTAATGGCTTATAACACTAAAATCCGGGCTTCGATACTCGTGGTGGGCACTTCACAAATAGCCCATTATGTAACTTTGTGCTTAACAACAAACATACAAAGTAGTTTCTTTGTTCATCGATATCAATTTTGATTATTTATGAAAACAGTGACTGTTAGTTGCTCGTGAAAACATTACATTGACATAAATTTCGGAATTTGGTTTTTTCTCTTACAGACGCCCCCCAGTGGTACAGCGGTATGTCTGCAGACTTACAACGCTAGAATCCGGGTTTCGATACCCGTGGTGGGCAGAGCACAGATAGCCCTTGTGTAACTTTGTGCTTAACAACAAACATACAAAGTAGTTTCTTTGTTCATCGATATCAGTTTTGATTATTTATGAAAACAGTGACTGTTAGTTGCTCGTGAAAACATTACATTGACATAAATTTCGGAATTTGGTTTTTTCTCTTACAGATATTGGATTTTTGTTTGTTAAACGTAAAGCTACACAATGGGTTACCGGTGCTGCGCCCACCATGGGTAGTGAAACCCGGTTTTTTAGCATTATAAGCCTTTAAACTTACCAATGAGTCACGGGGAGCAATAATGAATGGAAAAACACCATTGATAACATTGGTTCGTGAATCACGTGTTTTTTTTTAATCATATCACAGTTTATTGATTAAATTGCTAATATAACATTGAAATAACCTTTTAAAGATAAAACGTTATCAAATACTTTAATTCATTTGCAGTTTCTTTAAATGGCCTTTTTTTTCTTTTGTTCGCGTAATTATTTTTACAAACTGATCTTAACCCAATAAGGGCTAACGTTCCAATTTCGGGACGGAAGTTTAAATTATTATAAACTAATAACCTATGTTTCCTGCCATAGAGTATTGCTACAATTTTTTTTCAGATAGTTTTTCATATTTATATGACGTTTCTAAAACTAAACACACAACCAAAAACAATAAATTAATATTTTCAAAAAAATAGTTCTAGGCTTTAATGGGCTAATATTATTTCTACTGTTTTTATATATATCCACAAACTAAGAAATTGTTCTTTTCGTTGCGGTTTTTTTTTCTTCTTCTATGTCCTGTACATAGCTCACGTTTCTCAAAAACAATAAGAAAATTCAAACAGTGATTTCGTGTTTCGTCTCTAAAGTTAAACACACACACACACACACAAACGTTCTGGCCCTTAATGGGTTACTATTGTTTCTACTGTTTTAAAGATATATATATATATGTATATACTCAAACTAGGAAAATGTTCGTGTTTTTTTTTAGGCCCTTTACACAACTTACGTTTCTTCCTGACATGAGCTGCTAATCACACCTTCAGAGTTAAGGGCATTGTAAAGTACACTCAAGACTGTTAATGTGGAGTTAAATGCATCACATCTCCATTATTAGGGTACACGTTCTAAGAGGTTAATGTACATGCACTAAATCAATTTAGATATCTCGTAGATATTTAACTGAAGCTATCACGGACCATTTGTATAAGTTTACGTTAATTTGCCTTGAAGCTTAATAGAGTGATTGTCTTGAGGTTAACACTTTCCATTAGGTCATGCCAACTTTGCTTGTTTGTTTTTTACTGCAGAGTAAAAACTTCTTGCACCACATGTTCGGCGACAAAAAGACAGACAGATAACTTGAATTAATAAAGTCCCATTGCTAAACTATAGGACTGTAATGTTAGATTATGAACTTCAAAAACAGTCTCACCGTTGAAAAAATGACAACTTAACACCACTTCTATTTTCCATCAAATAATTTGCACTAATTAAAAATCGAGGACCATGTTGTAATAATTACCAATCCAAGACCATGTTCTACTCATTACCAATCCAGGACCATGTTCTACTCATTACCAATCCACTACCATGTTCTACTCATTACCAATCCAGGACATGTTCTACTCATCACCAATCCACTACCATGTTCTACTCATTACCAATCCACTACCATGTTCTACTCATCACCAATCCAGGACCACGTTCTACTCATTACCAATCCAGGACATGTTCTACTCATCACCATTCCAGGACCACTTTCTACTCATTACCAATCCACTACCATGTTCTACTCATTACCAATCCACTACCATATTCTACTCATTGGTGATGAGTAGAACATGGTCCTGGATTGGTGATGAGTAGAACGTGGTCCTGGATTGGTGATGAGTAGAACATGGTAGTGGATTGGTGATGAGTAGAACATGGTAGTGGATTGGTAATGAGTAGAACATGGTCTTGAGTTGGTAATGAGTAGAACATGGTCCTGGATTGGTAGTGAGTAGAATATGGTAGTGGATTGGTGATGAGTAGAACATGGTAGTGGATTGGTAAGGAGTAGAACGTGGTCCTGGATTGGTGATGAGTAGAACATGGTAGTGTATTGGTAATGAGTAGAACGTGGTCCTGAATTACCAATCCATTACTATATTCTACTCATTACCAATCCACTACCATGTTCTACTCATTACCAATCCACTACCATGTTCTACTCACTACCAATCCAGGACCATGTTCTACTCATTACCAACTTAAGACCATGTTCTACTCATTACCAATCCACTACCATGTTCTACTCATCACCAATCCAGGACCACGTTCTACTCATTACCAATCCACTACCATGTTCTACTCATCACTAATCCACTACCATGTTCTACTCACTACCAATCCAGGACCATGTTCTACTCATCACCAATTCAGGACCATGTTCTACTCATCACCAATCCAGGACCACGTTCTACTCATTACCAATACACTACCATGTTCTACTCATCACCAGTCCAGGACCACGTTCTACTCATTACCAATCCACTACCATGTTCTACTCATCACCAATCCAGGACCATGTTCTACTCATCACCAATCCAGGACCACGTTCTACTCATTACCAATCCACTACCATGTTCTACTCATTACCAATCCAGGACATGTTCTACTCATCACCAGTCCA